ATCTAAGCAAACTGAAGAATATCCTTCTGACCCTGACTTAGTTAATGTCATATTTTCGAGTAATTTTAAATAGGGGAAATGTCTCTAATGTTGGCCTATGGATCTAAGATTGGGCCCATCGCTAAAAATCTGCTATTTATTAATTTTGTCTAGATGAACGCGTTATTGGGACGTAACTAATGGATATTTTCGGTTGCTATGGGCCCAAATTAGGGACACATAGGCCGACATTACCTGCATATCTCCTATAACTGTTCCTGAAACACAACCTTCTGATTCTGTTTTCCATCGCTGGGAAAGAATTGAGAATAGACTAGAATTTCAACCAATTATCAATCATGAGGTTGTGAATGCTGTTTACGAGGTAAAATGCCTCAGAAAATCCCAGCTGCACCGACTAAGACTGACCCCTGTTTTTTGACAAGGTCAAAGCAGCCTTACTAAGGGTTTGCGATGATATCGCTATTACCGTCGACAACAAAAGTAAGATTGAATTGCTTTTGTTAGATTTTTCTAAACTGTTTGACTTCATCTCCCACCCATATCTGTGCAGCAAGCTACATGATCGTAAGTTTTTTAGTCAGGCCGCTTTAGATTTAATTCCGGAAGAACACAATTAGTCCTCTGTGGTGATAAGTAATAAAAAAGTTGATCTGAAAAGCGCCGTGCTCAAACCAGTCTTGTTGACGATCTTCTCAATGTGTTGAGGCATTGTAAAGCCTAATTGTTGCTGACAATGTCCAGTTAGTTATAGTTGACCACAATTTAACGTTGGGCATTGAGAAACAACTTGAATAGGGTTAACGTCTCTTATGTTGGCCTGTGTCCCTAATATTGGGCCCTTTCATAAATTTAAAAGGAAACCATTTTTTTTGACAATGTTTGAATAGCAACCAACAATATTCATTTGCATTGTACAGATGACGCATTGTTCTAAGAAAAATGTATAACAGGAGATTTTTATCGATAAACCTAATTTTTAGATCCACAGGTCAACATTAGACCCATTGCCCCTATCAACCAAAAGCAAGCAGGTAAGAAAATTATGTGTTACCAGATGTGATAATTGAGGGAAATCACATTGAGCTAACCTGTTATGCAAGTAACCTTGGCATGACTTTTCAAGACAATCTGAAACGGGACGAATCTGTTTCACAACAATGAGGAAAAATCTAAAGCAGGCTGAGGACTTTGAGAGCTGTGACGAAGGATTAGCTACAACTGTTTGAATCAGTGCTGTTAACCCATTTCATGTTTGCGGATGTCTTCTATTTGGATGGTTCTATGGTACTGTTTTCTAAGCTTGAAGTTGTTTTTAATGAGTGAGGTACGCTTAAACCATAAACCGGTGGACATCAGTACGTCATCTGTAGAAAACACTTTTAAGCTGTCCTTTCTGCAATTTTCATGCATTGAGAGCTTGTTTATTCTTGTATAAGATTTTGAATCGCAGAGCACCAAACTACATTTTTTCTATGATTACACCACTTTGAGGGAGACGCACTATGGGTTTCTCTGTTCCTGTCCACAACACTACTTTTTACGGAAAGTCGTTTTATTGTGTAGAGCGTGGCATATTGGAACTTACTTCCACGTGCTTTGACACGTGATTGTTCACGAAAGGCTGCACTTCATTTCTAAACAGATGATTTCTATTTAGTCAAGCTAGTGTATTTGTGTAGGGTAGATGTACCAGCTATGTCGATACGTTCCTATTATGGTGTGCTCCAATTATGACCCAAGGGAATTCCATAAATGGTACATCTGCCTTATATGGTGTAATAAACTTTTTTCAAACGGTTTATATGTATATTCAACCGCTATGGCAAAAAACAGACGCAGCTTGAATCATGTTTTTCGAAATAAACTTAACGAAACTAAATTATGAAACAATTAATTGTTTTGATGATAATTTAAACTTGTAAGATACAAGCAGAGATTTTTTTTTTATCTAGTTCGTTTATTTGTAAGGCTCAATCGCGTTAGCTTTACGGAGCCGATAATTCATTGTTCTTTGTTTGTAACAAAATTCACTTAATTCTATGTCTAGTAGGAGTTGGGCCGGATACTCGCGGCTTACTCGAGGTTAGAGGGGTACATTGACGAAGGATAGGAAATGGGGAGGAGCTTGGGAGTAGGGTATCGTTGCCTCATCAGAGCGTTGTCGCCAGTGTGAACGGTAGTGTGGTTCTAGATTCGTCTGGAGTTCGACCGGCTATGGTGACCAGTGGGCGACGATGAGGCTCATCGAGACGGAGGACAAGACAAACAAAAACTAATAAAGAGATACAAAAGACAAACGAATTAAATTCTTATACTAGACATTTGCAGAAACACATAAATCGACTGCATATGCAAGCAGAGATTGTAGAGTATTTGTTTGACACATTTAGCAATTTTGCATTGAGAGTCAATCAAGACAATCAGCGTCAAGAGAGACAATCAGCGATTTTATGGTCGGTGAATACTCACATTACTCACTCTTCATGAAGTATGAATATTCCCTGATCATAAAATTGCGATTCTCTTAAAGCAAAATTGATAGGTTTTATGTGTCAAACACATACCTTACAACCTCTTCTGTATCTTCCAAATACAAAATAGCATCTAACATCTAATGATGTTAGAGAACCATACATTCTTTGTCAAGTGTTGTGCGATGCATGCACAAACTTGCTTTGAAAACGCTCAGAAAGGCTTTCCAGCTCTGATTGTTTGTAGGTATGGATGAGTACACCGATGGATTTGAGTTCATCCACTGATTTGAGATTTCTAGACCAACAACTGAAATGGCCTCAACTCCATTTTGTAAACAAACATTGTTAGGCCATTTTCTCGCGAACCAAAGGCCGCCAACGCAAACCAACAAAATGAGCAGGTAAGGGAAATTCTCCTCTACCCTATTGTGTGGTAGGTATGCAAATGTAGGTTTCGGTTCGCGAGAAAATGACCTTACAAGGTTTTTTTTTACAAAATGGAGTTGAGGCTTTTCAATTGTTGGTCTTGATTTGACAGGAGAGTGGAGCAATGTTTACTAAAAATGAATATGAAAAATAAATAATGAACATTTAGTGTTCACGTTTTAACGGAGCACCAATGCTACCGACGCCAGGGAGGCAGCTCCCACACCTGGACCCTACCTATCGACTCATCAACTCATGAACCGGGGGGCTTTCCTTCCCTTCCAAAGGAAGGCGTGATCAGAGATGTTATGCTTCAGAACATCCCGGTGGCACCGACTGGGATTGAACCCAGGCCTGCTGGGGTGAGAGGTAATCACGCTTACCACTACACCATCAGCGCCGGTGCTCCGTTCTCCTGTCAATTGTTACTCAGTGCATGAACTCAAATCCTTCGGTGTACTCGTCTATGTGCGAAACACTTGGTCAAATGTAAACGGTTAGTCACTTATTGTGCAGAATTCAAATCAATGTGCGATCTTTTACAAAATTGTTCTGCAAAGGTTTTTCAATCTAAGCCTGAGGATTGGTCAAAATTGAACAATTTTTGAATTTTTATACATGCAAATGATTGGTTTTTATTCGTTTCTCAGATATTTTCCCAAACAAACTTGAAAGTTCTCCCACAAATCTAGATCGAAACGAAATTCATTTAAATTTGGAACAGGGGTTGTTAAGTTAACCCACCCTAATGTTCATATTTTTTCTGTTATTTGGTATAGCCACTTTAGCATTCTTGGTTGTGACTTGCCCGGGGGGCAAGTGACTTGCCCGGGGATGAGGTTTGAACTCGTGACTTTGGCGTGAGAGGAATAGATGTTAAAGTTGCATGATAAGCTGGATGCCAGAGTGTTGAGTAAGTGGTGTAGAACTTAATATAGAGTAGTATGCAGTTAAGATTTGGGAAAAACAACTTAAAAATTGGTGCATTGCTTACATGTGAGCGAATGACTCCCGCTCGCATCGTCAAGGTTGACAAATTTTTCCCACCTGGTGATGATGTTAGTTAGTTAGTGGGTGCAGCCAGATTGTTTTGATGATTTTACGTGTTTAGTGATTGTTTACAAAAGCCTACAAGTTGTCAACTAAATTTTTATATATATTTGCTCCTTTTCGCTTCAGAACTAGAATTGCTATTGTGTCTCTAATATTGACACTCAGGCATAATCGTGTTGTCCTAGCAAAAGGATCCAGAATATGGATTGAAGCTTTTTAATATTACAAGAGAAAGGCACTTTTCATCGATAGGTGGATTAATCGTTTTCACTGTACTGTAATTTTATACAATTTCCTTGAATTCCTTCTCTTCTGTTGTATAAGGTTCCATTTAGTTGATTTATACTATCTGTTCCTATTTCAGGATTGATGTTATGACCCATCAGTTACTGTTGTACGGTTTGCTCCATTGAAAATAAATTTCTGGCTTCTGCTATTAAAAATAAATTTATATCACTATCACTTCACCAATGAAAACGTTTTATTGCAACCTAGGATTATAGAAAATACCCTCCGGACGCTCGTTAGCGAGTGAAAACCGAACAAAAAACAATGCAACTACTATTCGCTTCAAAGGATTCAGTCAGTGTGGCTGGCAGTTATCTAAAAACTAGCACTCGCGTTCCCTTGCATAAACCGTTCCGTGGCCGTAGCTCCACTCCCAGTGGAATACTTTCATCCGGTCTTTCATCTACCTTCGCCATCATCGCGCTTGAACTGTATGTAGTTATTACGCCAATAGTATGAGCTATAAAAACCCATAGCTTCCGCGAGTTCAACAAGAGAAAAAAAATCTTCGCAATCCACCCTCAATAGTAGAGACGCGCAGTGGCGTTTGCAGGCTCGATGTACTGAAATTTTCGGATCCTGTCGTCTTGTGTTTTTTAGTCAAATGGTAAAAACAAAACTTTTTTCGCATGGATGGATGATACTGATTTAGAAAAATCTATTTGCCCTATACAAAAACCCTACCTACACCCGTGGCCAAGCCCGTTCGGAAACGGAAGAAACGAGCGTGTAAAAAGCGGTGATGTAAACACTTACCTTTAACAGCAATCGAAACCGTTTGCAGTACTTCGAGCTTTTTGCGATTGGTTGAACTCTGGCCAACACACTTGTATGAGCCGGCGTCCTGGTAGACGACGTCCTTCAGCGAAAACTGCCCGGTCGGCGTGGAGATACCGACGCCGAGTCCCTTGAGCCGCGCCGTTATCGGATCCAAATGGGACCAACAGCCGAGGGAACCTGCGAAAACAGAACACAACCGTTGGTGAGTACTTATGATGGAGTAAGGAGTTGGTGGTCGTAGAGGAACGCATCCATGATGGGGAAACGAGCCGCACGGGAAAGGACTTTCCAACTGAATTGCCAGTCAGTGGAGGGAAATTAAAAAGTGGAAAAAGCCATGTAGCTATGATGTATGGGGCAATTATGGGAATGTTATTGCACTTCAGAAACAAGGGAATTGTGCCTCTAGGAGAATCCGGTGAGTCAGTGGACAGTGTGTCGGTTCGAGAACTTTGCCCCTCCCAACCGTATCGGCACGTCGGTAGGCTTTTGGGTATGGGCCAAATTGTATGACTGTAACAGGACGTTAAGTTAGAGAGTGGACCTTTTAACCGATCGGGGTCAATTGATTTTGTACGGGCCATTTAACAGTGCAACGAGTTACGTATTCATTCTCAAATAGGTTATTACCTTATTCCAGCCGAAGACGGAACGATAGGTATGCGTATTTTTTTTTCGATTTACGATTACATAGTTCGTACGTCCAACGTGTATCTTTTGGGAACATACTTATTTGCAGTTTGTGTAACGAAGTTATCATAGACTATCAACGATGTTGACTTAACTTATACATTTAGTGGATTGATTTCAATTATTTTAGTATTCTTCGGTCCATATTCTTTGTAAACTAGGCAGTTGAACAGCACATGCAGTGTATAAAAAAAAGTCCATTCAGCTGTCCAGGTACAGATCGGACTCGATTGTCCGAGATCCGATTATCCGGGATTAGATTATCTGAGGGTTCGATTATCCAATACTCCGGAGTAAATGACCCGAGTTTCCAGAGCCATATATTTTTTTTTCAGTATTATTGGCTTTGAGTAATTAAAAACAAGAAACATGGGGTACATGCTACAACCATCGATGCATTTTAATCATTTGAGCAGTTCCACACGATTATGATGAAACTTTGCACAGTTGTTTGTTATTGCCCAACATGCCATTTTACATATATTGTTCCTTAGTTTTGCACACGACTTACACTTGAAAAGGGCTTATGCAAACATGATACGCATCAATAGAAAAATATATATCTCGTGAACGATTTGTTTGATCGAAATGGTGTCTTAGAAGAAGTTGCGGACAAGTATTGTACCTTCCAAGAAAAAATATACACTTAAAAAATTATACATTTTTTTTTACAAAAAAAAAACAAAATTATCCCTAAAAATTAAAATTACTCAAATTGCATATTTTTTAAATTATTTTTTTATATTTATTTTGTAGTTTAGATAAAGTAATACCTACTGACACTGTGCATTTGCTGGGCAAATCATAAACAAAAAAGTTATGAAGTATTGAAAAAATAAGTAGTTTCCAAAATACCACCTACAGTTATCGAATATCTTTAAAATTAACACATCAAATTTACAACAAAAAACCTCATAATGCTTAAATTGCCCAAAATTGTTATTTTCGAGATACTCGAAGGTTAAAATTCACAACATGGGATTTGACTTAATTGATTACAACATGGAATATATCAAGATTCTGACAAGATAGAAAGTTACTGTCTCTGACAAAGTTGTTCAGGAGACCATAGCCTTGTCGCTGGCGGACAGTAGTTCAGAATTTTATCACTACGTAGCGCTAGTATACATGTGAAATTCTCGCATGTGATATATCTGGAGATCCTGAGCAGATAAAAAGTTACTGTCTTTCACAAAGTTTTTCAGGAGAGTTCAATAGTTCAGAATTTTCTCACTACTAGACGCTAGTATACACGTGAAATTCTCATATAAAATATCTTTAGTTCCCAACCAGATAGAAAAGTACTGTCTTCGGCATAGTTGTTCAGGACGTCAAGGCTTTTTCGCAGGTGGACAGTAGTTCAGAGTTTTCTCACTTTGCGGTGCTACTATAGATGTGAAACTCTTGCATATAAAATATCTCTAGATCCTGACCAGATAGAAAGTAAATGAATTCGGCAAAGTTTTTCAGGAAGTCAAGATCTTTTTGTTGGGTGACAATAGTTCAAAGTTTTCTCACTATGCGGTGCTAGTGCCTTTCTCCCATATTCAATAGCTCGAGATCTTGATCAGCTAGAAAGTTGCTGTCTTCGGCAAAGTTGTTAAGGGGGGGGGTCAAGACTTTTTAGCTGGTAAACAGTATTTAATAATTTTCTCACCACGTGGCATTAGTATTTTTTTTTTTTCCTTTGTTGGGTACATTTTTCCACTGCGACCAGTTATTTGATCTATTGTGGTGGGCCCCGGTTTAATGTATGCCACATCAGCGTGTTGTATCACTATTTGTTTGAGTGATTTCCACTAGCTGACTATAGGCATTGTCTCAGTAAGGTATTATAGAACGAATGAACTTTATTGCCTTACTGGGATAAGTCATCCATACTTCTGAGGGCTGTATTAAACCCTTATCGAAAAATATTTTCCTTTTATGAAAAAGTGCTGCACAGTTACATAGTAAATGTTCCGAGTTTTCACTCTCTAGGTTGCAGAATCGACACTTGTCATCTTCCAATTTGCCTAGCTGTTTTAAATAATATTTACTTGAACAGTGGCCCGTAACTAGGCCACTTAAAGTACATAGATCTTTTTTGGAGAGACTAAGAAGTCTTTGAGTTGCTCCTTTATTAGGTGATATAAATCTTTTGGACTTTCGAGCTATTTTAGTGTTTTTCCAAATGTTATCTATCATCGATTTTTCCCAGTTTTTTAGTTCCATTTTGAGGGTACATTCTGAGGCCCCACAAAATGGTTCTGGACCTAGGAATGGTTTAGGCATTAGTATACATGTACACTACTCGCATATGCTATATCTCGAGATCCTGATCAGATAGAAAGTTGTTCAGGAGGTCAAGGTATTTTGGCTGGTGGACAGTAGTTCAGAATTTTCTCACTTCATGATGCTAGTATACATGTGAAATTCTCGCATATAAAATATCTCACGTTCTTGACCAGATAGAAAGTTACTGTCTTGAACAAAGTTGTTCAGGAGTTTAAAGCCTAGAGTTTATGAGAAAATTCAAAACTATTGTTCACCAGCCAAAAGACTTTGACCTCCTGAATAACATTTGTTGTAGACAGTAACTTTCTATCTGATTAGGATCTCGAGATATAGCATATGCGCGAAGTGTACATCTATGCCACGTGGTGAGAAAATTCTTAACTACTGTTTACCAGCTAAAAATGCTTTGACCTCCTGAACAACTTTGTCGAAGACAGTAACTTTCTATCTGGTCAGGATCTCGAAACAAACCACATGCGAGAATTTCACGTGTATTCTAGCGCTACGTAGTGAGAAAATTTTGAACTACTGTCCACTAGAGAAATCTATCTGATCAGAATCTCAAGATACTTTACATGCGAGAATTTCGCGTGTATACTAGCGCCACGTAGTGTGAAAATTCTGAACTGTTGTGCACCAAGCAATAGGCATTGACCTCATGAACAACTTTTTCGAAGACAGTAATTTTCTACCTGTTCAGAATCTCGAGCTTAGCATACGCGAGAATTGTACACGTTTACTAGCGCCATGTGGTGAAAAATTTCTAGGCTACTGTCCACCAGCCAAAAAGTCTTGACCCCCTGAACAAGTTTGCCGAAAACAGTAACTGTTTCTGCTCAGGATCTCGAGCTATTGTATATGCGAAAATTGCATGTATAAGTTATTAGTTCGGGCCTTCGGGGGGCGTTTTTAAAAAATAAAATTAGAACTACCAACTTACTCGACTGAAGGTCTGAACTAGAATGAATTTATTCTTCTAAAGCAAAAAGTTACAATGTGCTATATACTAAAGGGTTTAATGGAAAACGCCTAGTGCGCGAATTATTACTTATATGCTATCTATGTTTTGTCTGCTGCTAACCGGCTCGGTGTCGCTGATGGATGGTCGCCTCGTGGAAAGGAATGGGAATGCTGATATACAGAAATATGATTAGGCATTGGGATGCAGTTCTGCTGTTGTTGTTGTTGTTGTTGTTGTTGTTTCTGTTGTATCTTATTATTGCTGATATCGACTGAAGTTCCTGTCGATAGTGTCGTTGAATTGCTTGTAATTGGGTTCTGGTATGATTCCAGGAAAGTGCTGTACTTAACTTATATACTAGCGCCACGTAGTGAGAATTTTCTGAACTACTCCACCAATGAAAAGATCTGGACTTCCTGAAAAACTTTGCCGAAGACAGTAACTTTTTATATGGATCTAGAAATATTTTATATATGCTAGAATTTTACATGTATACTAGTGCCGCGAAGTGAGAAAACGCTGAACTACTGTCCACCAAGGAAAAGGCCTTGACCTTCTGAACAACTTTGTCGACGACAGTAATTTTCTATCTGGTCATGATCTCGAGATATATCACATGCTATAATTTCACATGTATTCTAGCACTACGTAGTGAGAAAATTCTGAACTACTCTCCACCAGCGAAAAGATTAGGATCTCTAGAACAACTTTGCCCAACACAGTAATTTTCTATCTGGTCAGGATCTCGAGATTTTCCATGTTGTAATCAATTAAGTCAAATCCCACGTAGTACGGACACCGTTTACGCGGTTTCCATTCACATTTTCTCTATTATCCGCATTTTTTGGGGGTTAACTGTGATAAAAGTTTAGCTTGTTTAGTTAAAAACAAGTTTTTTAATGAATACCCGTTGGTTTCATATCGATTGGTAGCTCGGCTGCAAAATGGCAATGGAAAACTCACACTGTTGTACAAAGTACAACGCGCGAGTACTCGTGTTATAAAAGTTTGCGCGAGTAACGGAGGGTTAATCATACGCATGAATTAAGATATAATTAATTAGCTTAACTAGCTAGCCGTATATGGGGCCAAACAGAAAAATACACTTTTGCCATACCGTCTCTTACTCATAATTAATTATATCTTAACTCATGCGTATGATTGAAAAACTGTGAACAACAAAGTTTGAGAAAATTAATTGGGCTTTTTGTTAAAAATATTTTTAAGATTGAACACTCACGAATACCAT